CCGGGCCATTAACCGGAGCAAACGCAGTTGCTGGGAGAAATTAAGGGACGATGTCGATTCCGATCCGTGGGGCCTTGGTTACAAGATAGTAACCAAGAAGCTTGGCACCCGCTCTCCACCTTCCGTTATGGACGGGGCCTCTATGGAGAGGATCGTAAAGTCCCTTTTCCCGACTCACACACTGCGTCCATTGCGGGAGTTCGGAAGGGTGGACGACGTACCGCTTTTCAGTCTCGAGGAGTTGGAGGCGGCCGTTCTGTCCCTGAAGAACAACAAGGCTCCTGGACCGGATGGGGTACCTGGTGAGGCCCTGAAGAAAGTCTTTTCAATAAACCCACAAATCCTTTTGAGCACGTACAATGCCTGTCTGGCCGAGGGGAAGTTTCCCTTCTGCTGGAAAACAGCTAGGCTTGTGCTCGTGGGGAAGGGAAAAGGAAACCCAGACCTACCCTCCTCTTACAGACCTCTCTGTATGTTGGACACTGCTGGGAAAGTCTTGGAAAAGTTGATCCGTTCCCGACTGAATTCAGCCGTGGTTGCTGCAGGGAATCTATCCCCTCGTCAGTACGGTTTCAGGAAGGGACGGTCAACGGTTGACGCTATTGAGGAGGTAAAGCGAGCCGTAATGAGAGCTGAGGAGTTTAACAACTATTCTCGTCGGGTTGTGCTGCTTGTAACACTTGATGTGCGAAACGCATTTAATTCCGCGAGGTGGTGCGATATGCTCGACGCACTGGAGAACACTTTCCACGTCCCGGCATACCTCATGCGCATGATAGAGGACTACCTCCGGTACCGCCTCATCATTTACGACACTACAGAAGGCTCCAGGACGATGGATGTAACTTCTGGTGCTGCTCAAGGATCCATACTGGGCCCGGACCTCTGGAACGTCGCCTACGACAGCCTCTTGAGATCCGAGATGCCTGAGGAAACCGTCCTAGTTGGGTATGCAGATGACGTTGCGGCTTTAATAGCTGCACGTAGCATTGAGCTTGCCCAGCTGAAACTAAATCGAGTCATGCGAACCATTAACGCATGGATGGCAGAACATGGTCTCTCGCTCGCTCTGAGCAAAACTGAGATTGTCATTCTGACTAAAAAGAGGATTGACACCATCGTGCCTTTGATGGTGGGGAACGTTGAAGTCCAAACCACTCGTGCCGCAAAGTACCTTGGGGTCATGGTGGACAGCAAGCTCAGCTGGCGAGACCAGATCACCCGTACGGCGGACAAGGCCGCTAAAATGGTTTCTTCCCTTAGTCGGTTAATGGCCAATGTCGGAGGTCCACGGTCCAGCCGCAGAAGGCTGTTGATGTCTGCGGTCCAGTCAGTGCTCCTGTACGGTGCGGAGGTCTGGGCAGACGCTCTCAATAAGGAGGTATATAGGATGCGGCTCGCCCGAGTGCAGCGTCAGGCAGCACTAAGGGTAGCATCTGCCTATCGAACAGTGTCCGAACCCGCCGTCCTGGTGGTTGCTGGAGTCATCCCCGTCAAACTTTTGGCGGCGGAGAGGAAGGCAATTTATCAGCGCCGTGGGGAGGACCAGGCAAGTATTGAGGAACGCACCCGGACCTTCCAGCTGTGGCAGGAGAGCTGGGAACAGGAGACAAGGGGGCTCTGGACCAGGCGACTGATACAACAGGTCCAACCTTGGGTTAATCGGCGGTGCGGAGAGGTGAACTTCTACCTCACCCAATTTCTGACGGGTCACGGCTTTTTCCGGTCGTACTTGTTCAGGATGGGCAAAGCCGTGTCACCCGATTGCATATACTGCCCAGGCATTCCCGATGACGTGGAACACACTTTCTTCCACTGCCAGCATTGGGAAAGGCCCCGCCTAGAGGCTCAACAGTTCGTAGGACTGCTGTCGGTGGACACGGTCATACCGATGATGATGGAGGGTGAGGACAATTGGACCTGTGTGTCACTTTACATCCAGGGTGTTCTCCGCGCCAAGAAGCTTGACCTCGACCGGGATGCGGTGTAGGTCAAAAAATAAATAATGCCAGAAACGGTGCGAGCCCTGTGGGCTTAGGTCACATGTTGGCCTGACTTGAAGTAATGTGACAAACAATTCCAGGTCTGTGTCCAACAGAGTAGAGGGGGTTTTTTAGTGAGTAGTCTGTGATAAACTCAGGAGTCTCACACTACAGGCTGGCTACCTGTGTGCGTAAAAGCATTTTCCCTCCTCACCCTAAAAAAAAAAAAAAAAAAAAAAAAAAAATTTATATTAAAAACATATATACATTTTTTTAGATAATTTGGCTTATTAATTAAAAAATTAAAATCATTTTATAAAAATGTGAGATCACATAAATTATAAATAGCATGCAAATTTCGATGGGTAAAACCAATTTAATATTGTGCAAGTAGCAAATATCCCCTGTCAGCTATTGGAACTTGTATGGCTTTTGTGTACCAAAGCCTGACATTGATATAATTTTTAATCCAAAACCCCTAACACCCCAATTTTATCATGAAATTGTCAACAAAGGTATAATTGATAAAAATAATGAGCCTAATCATTAATACTATTTAAGAAATTTAGCGAAATGACTAAAAACCAAACTTACCTTCTTAACAATTTCATTAAGGGAATCGACTAAATGTGATGTGTACAGACAGGGTCGCTTTCAAACCACCACCATTCAGCGAGTATGGGCTAAATTTCACTGATTTTTTTGTAAACAAATCAAGAATAAACATATGTTCTTCTAACAATGCAATCATGTGTAAATATTTTTAAGAGACCACATTATAATGTAAAGAAACTCAAACTGTCAGCTTCTGGAGCACTGTCAGCTACTGGTGCATTTACCTTATGTTAGGTATTTTTTTTTACAGTTTCAATTCATTACTTTTTGTTGATACTGAACAATATTTATCGTAGTTGCCAGCTGATATGTTTCAATTTGTTAATATCGATATATCGAGAAAAAATTCATCGATAATATTGAATGTTCCCTTTGACAGGAAAGTACCTTAGCTTGTTAACAACCCTTGCCAGAATAAGCAGTGGGAGTAATTATTATGATATTTTATTGGTTAAATCACAATGGTACAATCACTTTCAAACTTGTTTACCGGAATGGGGTGTACGGTTTTGTCTAGCATAAATGACTATGGTATACTCAATTTAGTCAACAATGCTCTGGAAATTTTTTAACAGTTTATTTTATTCTTTTACGATGAAATTATTGTAAAAAAGCAAAATTAAAGAAAAATTTAAGGATTTTCGGGAGATACCTAAGTGAGGTTTAATAAAATATAGAGTTTTACCCCTTGGTAGGATACTGTGATACTTTTTACACTACTTCTCTTAAGAAGTAACCAGTGCAAACAATGCATTATCAAGCAGTGGTATACTAAAATTGTATAGTGATAATGAAATACAGTAGGAACTACAAAACATTTTTTTTTTTTAATTGGTACCCCGAAAAAAATATCTAGAGGTATGGATTTACATTTGACACACGATGTGTATTATTTAATGTGAGTGGTTGTGTGTAATGTGCAGTTTTAAATCATAAAAAGTAAAATATATTTAACATTCTTATCTCAAACTACTCATTTTTTAAATGTATCTTTGGGAGTTGAGTAAAAAAATGTGTACTGCTTGGGTAGAACACATTTATTTAGTAAATATATTTTAAAAATTTGTCGTGTTTCCCTTAGGATTAAATTGTATTTTTTGGAGGGGGGGGATTTGTAGGGTTATAGAAATAGATAGAAAATCATAAGCTTTATTGGATTTTAAAGCAAAGTAGAGTGTTTATTAAATGCCTAATACAAACCGACCCCCGTATCATTTGAGCCAGTAAGTCGGCTACAAGCTTATATCAGTTTAAGCTCAAGTTACCATAAAATCTGATTATAACTTAGTTGGCGTTGTATCAATGCTGGAGGAACTGTTAAATTAAATTGATCCCTGCACTAAGTAAATTAGTTTAAGCACACATGTATTTTCAGAGTGTAGTTTTTCCTTTTCGAAAATATAGTGGAAGATTGGATTGAAATGTAACACATAAAATTGAGTTTTCGTAGCTTCCAATAAATATATTTATAGTAAATAAAAATAAGTAAATATATAGTTTTTAGTAAATTTCCCATCGTACTTACTTACTCCGATGGCCATTTATGCAATATACGGGATTTGGCCGCACCAAAATCTGCTCTCCATCACTCTCTATCTTCTGCCTCTTCCACTGCTCTTCTACTTCTATGATGTCCTTGGTGACAATATCCTACGATATTCTCTTGGGCCTTAGGTAGTTTCCCAAGTTTTGTAGGCCTACATGCATTTATATCCTTGGGTGGGTCGCCGGAATTCTACCCCCGGATATCAACGCTAAAAGATCATTCTCAACCGGTGAGAGATGGATCACAACCAAATGTCATTCTAGAGCCAAACATCAATCTAGAACCGAATGTCAATCCAGAATTGAATGTCACTCCAGAACTTGATATCCAAGACCATGATGATTATCAACCAAACTTCGTTCCTGAGCGTGACTTTGAATGAAAACAACCTCTAGAAAGGCCGAATAGATCAAGAAAACCACCAAGTTACCTTGATGATTACATTGTTCAAGTTTTGACCGGGGCAATGTTATGAATTACTGTTCAGCTGATGTATTTCGTTACTTCTTGTTTTTATTAGAGATTAGTTTACCTTTCCAACTATGTAAGCATTTAAAAAAAGTTCATAATAATCAGCTATTCACATCATGATATTAACAAACATATAAATAAATTGTTTTTTTATATTATATACTTTTTCAATTTTTCTATATTAATAAGACTGTTTTAAAAAAGGTTTTTCTCATGCTTATCATGCCATATTTTTTTAACGTAATTGACGGTTTTTAATTGGTGTCTTTACCGAAAACACGCATATAATTCTATCGTAGGTAAAAATTAAAACACCATTAATTTTGCTATTTGACATTAAGTGGCAAATATGTGGCATTGACGCCAGACACACCACAAGTGTTCTACTAACTTCAGCGAAAGCAACTTTGAGTGCTCGTAGTCAACCATTTTGCAGTTTCTCGCCATGACTGCATTGGTTTTGAGCACAATTTTCTTACTGGTAAGTAACTATTTTTATGCAATTAATGTTTCTATTATCACTATAACTGAAATTATTTTTACTGGAGTAAATAAAAAACTTGATCTTAGAAATGTATTGATATATTTAAACTGTCAACATTTTGAAAGTACACTAATAATTATGAATTAAAAAAAAAATATTGCAAAATATATCGATTTGAAGCTCAGACATTTCTGGAGATAACCTTACGTCTCGTATTATGTGTGTTGCCAGTCAAGCATCGATGCGTTGTAATATTTTTTTACTAAACTTTGTAACACTTATCGTCTTGTACATATTAACAGTATCTAATTGATTCGTTTCTCAATGACTTTTCTTTTTCTCCTCTACTCTCAGGTCTTCTGATATTTTTACGTCTCAAGCTCATTTAATTTGAATTGTATACAGCAAGCTGTCGTCGAAATTTGGGTTGAAGGTAATCAAATTTAACGAGTTAGCGAACGAACATGATTGGACCTTGGGAACAGGGGTTTAGCGTATTGTATTGGGTAGAAATTGGTTTTCCAATTTTTGTGACTCAAAACAGAAAATTTCCCAACTGTCCTCCAAACCATTTTGAAGAGCTTAAAAACCCCTAAGTATATTGAAGCATTTTCGAATGGTTATTGGTTATATTAAATAATTGGTTATTTATTTATTTTTTTGTTATAGAAACGATAAAAAAATAACTGTTGCAGTTTGCTTGAATATGGATATAATTTGCTGATTAAATTTGACAAACTTATCTATTTTACCTTATACCATTATCATTGTCAAACATGGCCGAAAAACACTTTTTACCTTATAACAAGTAACAAACCCCCTATTTAAATAAGAGATAAATATATACAGGGTTAGTAAAAAATGTGGAGACCCCCTATTATTTTTTTAACGGCCCATACTAGAAAAACTAAACTCGACACACCATTATGGCATGTTAAGAAGTACTTTTTGGGCATAACCGTCACTTGGAGTTCATCCCCAAAATTGGTGATTTTGGGGAAAACAAAAAAATTTCAAATAAAAAGACCCATCGAGTGACCCCTCATTTTGAAGGTCCTGGTAAAAGAAAACAAACGACGCAAACTAGAGGTTTCTATCTTAATCCAGTAAAAAATGGAAGCTGATTGAAATCTTTAGAAATCGGAAATAACTTGCAATTTTTTCTTCAATTGGCTGCCATATTTTACTGTGTTAAGATAGAGACCTATAGTTTGCGTTGTTAGTTTTCTTTTATTATGACCTTCAAAATGAGGGGTCACTCGATGGGGCTTATCATTTAAAATTTTTGAGTTTCCCCCAAAATCCCCCATTTTGGGTTTGAGAACTTATGAGAATTTCAATTGGCTGCCATCTTTTTCTGAACTGAGATAGAGACCTTTAATTTGCGTTGATGGTTTTCTTTTACTAGGACCTTCAAAATGTAGGTTTTCTTTTACTAGGACCCATTTTGGGTTTAGTAAGCAAGTGGCTATTAGGCTTAAAAAGTACTTCATAACATGCCAAAAAGGTGTGTAGAGTTTAGTTTTCCTAGTGTGAGCCACTACAAAATTTACAGGGGGTCTCCAGACTTGGAAAGCTGTAAGTTAAATTTAACTTCTGAGAATTTCAATTGGCTACCATTTTTTACTGGATTGAGATAAAGACCACTAGTTTGCGTTGATGGTTTTCTTTTACTAGGACCTTCAAAATGAGGGGTCACTCGATGGGTTTTTGTATTTGAAATTTTTGAGTTTCCCCCAAAATCCCCCATTTTGGGAGATTGCCCAAAAAAGTACGGTTATTGCACCAAGTGACGGTTATGCCCAAAAAAGTACTTCATAACATGTCATAGAGGTGTGCCGATTTTAGTTTTTCTAGTATGGGCCGTTAAAAAATAACAGGGGGTCTCCACACTTTTTACTAACCCTGTATACATACATATATTTTAATATTTTAGTATGAATCCAATTAGACAAATTTTATATTCACTTAATCTGCGCAGTTTGCTGTGGTGGGTGTATTTGTGTGTATCAGAGTATGATTGTCTCTTAAAATGTTATTTTGGTTTGTAAGCTATTAGCTTGGCTGACATAACCAACAAACTTTACGAAAACCTTACTTTATAAACAATGACCGATCGTGTTGTTACAGTTCTTTCCGATTGTTTGCCATGCTGCTGAATGTAAGTATACCAAATTACACATACATAAACATAAACGGGAGTTTTTACCTAAACAGGTTGCCAGTCAGCTACTTGGTGGAGTGCGGATATGTATATTCCCCAGGCCAACTTATAAATTTGGCATTATACCCCTTTTGAGTGAAAAATGTTTGAAAATGTTCACAATTTTATACTTATGTAATAAATATAATTTCATTAATTTGTGTGTAATATATATATGTAGCAAAAAAGTATATAAATATAAATTTACTAAACGTAATCAGTTAAAAAAGTATGTAGTTCATGAAAATTTAATTCCTTAATTTTATTATGCATATAATATATACACAATCTTAAATTCTTCTATTAAAGCAAAACATTTAGGTTCTTTAAAATCAAGTATCCGGATCTGGACCCAGATGACAAAACAATCCTATATTTACTATACATAAACCTATTGTACAATTTTAAATACAACGACATCTTAAAAGTGACGGATAATTTTTAAATGGTACCAAGTGTGGTAAATAAATAAGGAAAATATTATACCAATCATTATATTAATTGTACCTTTTCTATCAAACAGCCGAAAACATCAATGTCACGTAATTAGGCTTTATTAAGTATTAATTTTTTCAAATGACACAATGTAAGTTTTAATTCATAGTTAATATAATTAAATATTAAAACTCAATGTTTTGAAACGAGATACAAATCGTTTTCAAAAAAGTTTGGAACTGTTATGAAACAAGTTTTAAACAGTTTTGAAATTGTTATGGTATAGTTCAAGTGCTACTAGGGAGTTTGTGTTACCCAGTCTAATGATTTGAAATTCAGTTCTGTTTCTTTTCCTTGCAAAATAATTTAAATTTAGATGGTGTTCATGCTCATAAAGGTCGCCTGAAAGTTTGAGTCAATTAAGTTAAGAAATAAGTAATTTCTGAGTATTTATTGTTTGGCAAGTTTTCAGTCAGGTGTGACTTGGTTTACCTGAAGTCCCACTGGACTCGGCCTCTGATTTAAATGGTCTGGAAAGGTTGCTGAAACATTCCCCCCCCCCAAGCAAGAAACTTTCAAGAACATTCTGTCAGCAACCTTTGGAATGATTAACGATAATATAACCTATGTGTAGTTATAAGTTTTTTTTGAACGTCAAAGGCAGTTTTTGAAGTAGTTTTATGCATTTTAATGTAATTGTTTTGTTGTTTACTTTTACTTTTGCCTCTTTGGACCAGGTAAATTTGTCTCAATTTGTGATATTTTTTTCATATACTTATCTGTCCTGCTAGCAATTGTTTACCTCAAATATTAAAGTTTCCGATTGTGTACTGTGTTTCAATATCAGCGTATCTTACTCATTCGGTATTAGAATATTAATATTGCTATTTTTTTTACAGATGCAGTTGCCATCCCCTACTCAGATATCATACTATTTAATGAACCAATAGTATCGTTGTACGAATATGAAACCGGATCCAACGACATATTTTGTGCGGTGTACGAATTTCCTTTTACGCTAAAAATCAATGGAGTACCAACAATTAAATTCAACAATATTGCGTTCGTACATAACCTAGATGCAAAACGATTTGTGAGAGCTTTTGCAAACAATAACTGCGATGACTTTGCTAATAACCTGTATGCATCTGGTGACGTAATCGAGTTCCAACTGTCTCCCGGAAAAGTGGCATCAATATCCAAAGACAAAAGTGAGCTGAAGGAAGAGGGAACAAGCTTTATGAAGTCACCGTGGACAAAATATAGGTACGCATTATAAGAATTCTCCATTACTTGAATTTGCTTGGATTTGAGAATCCAAACACTCCTCTGATTTTTCACCTACTCTGGTTATACCCCAGCAGTCACAAGTGTATGTACCCAAAATCAAAGCTAATTCCAAACGACTTTTAACCCTCCCAACTAAGTAACAGTTTTCCAAAACAAATTGAATTTGAAATAAATTTCTTAACATAAAACTTTACACATTGCCTTACGTCATAATTTATTTTTTTTAGTTCAGAACAAATCTATAATATTGGTGAATTAAAATTTGTATCAATCAATGTACTGTAATAGTATCTTAGGTTTTAAAAAACTAGATAAGGAAAGATAACTTGTTGACAGGACCAAATAACCGAACAAATTGATTATATCTCATTTGTTGTACTGTAATGGGTAAACAAGTTGGACAGTTTGTATTTCAATGAGATGAACCCTTAAAATATTTGTACATAATTATGAATCATAAAATTTAATTTTTGTTCAAAAATTATGGTTCTGTTAGGACCATAAAACAATTAGGTGTCAAGGGCTCACTTAATTAAGCAATTAAAAAAATCAGAATTTTACACTTTATTCAAAGAAGTCTGATATTCAAATGAAAATGTGAAGGATTAAGAAGTAGTTTTAATAAGTTTCGTATACATTTCAATTTTGTGAATGTATACTTGTTGTGGTACTAACTGTTTGGTATTTTTAAAATTCCTCAATCCTTTTAGCACACGGATTTAACAATCTACTTTTTAATTAAAATAAAATATCCGTCTGTATTAATAGGTACAAAAATCTTTATCTCTCTCTTGTTGGTAAAAATATTTTTTTTTTCTAAAGTATTTTACATAGATCTAACATATAACTTTATTTGTTTTCCAAACTGTAGTTGTGAGGTGTTAACCGGTATGGATCCATCTAAGACCCCTACGACTTGCTTGAAACCTAGACCAGAAGAGATTCTACAGTCTTTGGCCGATTCTCATGTCACCGGAAAGCGTGGTAGGCCTACGTCTATTTTTTATTTAATTATAAATACCGGCTTTCTTTTGAGCTATTAGTTATACAAATCGGACGAGTTTCAAGCAAACATAAGCTGAACAAACAACATAAAAATTATTTTTCATAAGGGTTTTCTATGATTATAAATCAATAGCTCCAGTATTGTTCATGTTTTTTTATATGTTTTAGACTCAAAATAATCAGCAATTTTTAGGCTTTAATTTGAGCTATTGACCGTTTAAATTAGTTAAGCCCAAGATACTGTATTACTCAATGAAAAATCATAAATTTGATTATTTCTCGGATATTAAATTTATTTTAACGCTGCGTAGCAGCATGGGTCCTCTATTTGTGCATGATTTGTTTTGTTTTTATGTTCTTTACACCGGGTTTCTCTCAAATGGTGCGTTGTTCTTGAACCTTCCCCCGCGGGTTTTTCTTTTTTGGTAGTTTTGTGAGCCGCTCCTCGTCCCTGCACATGGGATAACGTTTCCAATTTGTTGCCTGGAGCAGGTGCGAGGTTGTTGTTCATATTTTGGAATGCATCTAAGTGTTTATTTGAAACTAAATAAAATAAATTACGATTTGATAATCAATCTAAGCGTAACTCATTCAGTATTAGGATATTGATATTGATATTTTTTTACAGATGCAGTTGTCTTGCCCTACATGGATTTCGAACGATTTAATAAACCAATAGTATCGTTGTACGAATATAAAACCGAATCCAACAGCCTATTTTGTGCGGTGTACAGATCTACTTTTACGCTAAAAATCAAAGGAATACCAACAGGATTCAACAGTATTGCGTTCGTACATGACCTACTTGCAAATCAATTTGTGAGAGCGTTTGCAAACAATAACTGCGATGACTTTGCTAATAACCTGTATGCATCTGGTGACGTAATCGAGGTCCAACTGTCGTCCGGAAGAGTGGCGCTATTATCCAGGGAGAAAAATGAGCTGAAGGAAGCGGGAACAAGCTTTACGAAATCACCGTGGACAAAATATAGGTACGCATTTTACGAATTCTCCATTACTTGCTTTTGCTTAAATTTGAAAATCCAAACACTCCTCTGATTTTTCACCTAGTCTGTCTATACTCAAGTATGAGTGTATGTACACAAAATCAAAAGCTAATTTAAAACTACCTTTAACTCTCACAACTAAGTAACAGTTTTCTATCTTGTTGGTGAATAGCAACATTTCCTTAAGTATTTTACATAGATCTAAAATATAAATGTATTTGTTTTCCAAACTGTAGTTGTCAACTGTCAGCCGATGTGAATCCATCTAAGACCTCTACGACTTGCTTGAACCCTAGACCAGAAGACATTCTACAGTCTTCTGCCAATTCTCAGGTCACCGGAAAGCGCAGTACTCCCATGTCTAGTTTAGAAACATCCGTTACGGTCTCATCTCAGCCCCCTGCTACGCGCAGTGCTCCTGTAGGAGGCAGATAAATCTTCCAGTAAGCGCAGCAACGCGTAGGAAGTTGTAAATGTCCTCGAAAATCCAACGAGTAAATCTTAAACAGTAAACGTAAATGTACGTTTATTTGTAATAAAAAATATTACCAGTGTCATGTGTTCTAAATGATTAAATAAATATAAATATGTAAAATTTTATATACAGCGTTTGTTTTCCTGACTTATGAATGGAGCAAACCTTTCACGTGATTGAGACTATAATTACTTATTATAAATATTTTTTTTGATTATAGTGTACAATGTGTATTTAAAAACGTTTTAAATCAACTAGAGTGAGATATAAATATGTTGAAGAATTAACACATTAGCAAGGTGATTAAATAAAGCACAGCAAAATTGTAATACGGCTCTCTTGATAGTGAATTACTGATTCATCATTATCTGTTATCATGTTGACTTCTTAATACACTAGAACAACGTAATTTGAGTTATATAAATTAAATTATCATCTTTTCTAACTAAAGTGATATAAACAAAAGTAGAATATTTATTACTGCGTCATCCTTGGATAATTATGATTTGTTGTACGCAAGGGCAGACCTTCAAACAAGACTATAATAATGGAATTGAATGGAGCTTACAGTAAGCTGTATGTCACTTGAGCTAATTAAGATGTTAGCACTTGTTAAACATACCTAAAAGTTCAACTTTTTATTGTACAAATTACTAGCTTAAATTCCAAGTGAGATGTAAAGTGATAAAATTTAATAGTCCTAATATTAATATAGTGTAAAGTTTCTGCCTGATTTATGAAGGGCTTATTAAATAAGTGGGTTCTACCTATAAGAAACACAAATGATCCTCATGATGATATACCTATCCTAGGCTACAGCATTGTACAGCGACGTTGCAATACCAACAAACTTCACAGTCTTGGTATTAGGTTTGTTTGGATCAGTTTAGCCTAATGACAAACTTAATAGCATTTACAACATTCTACCTTTTTATAAACTCATAAAAAAGGCAGACAGGATTGCAAATCATCGTCTTTGTCTCTTCATCAAACTACACAACTTAACAACACTCGTTTTTATAAATGATAAAAACGACCTGCAGACTAAGCGAATTTCCATGTGCCTGACTGGATTTCTACTAAAATATTCCCTGAAAACTGTCAGTTTTATTTCCTACTAGCTGTACCCGCGGGCTTTGCCCCGCTTAACTTCATAAGTATTCGCATGGCTCAATCTCGTCCTGGTTGAAGTTCGTTCGCTACGCTCACTCACTTTCAGGTTGGAAATCGTTCGCTGCGCTCACTTGTTTTCAGGTTAGCTCGTTCGCTACGCTTACTCGCCTCCAGGTTGAGGTTCGTTCGCTACGCTCACTCACCTTTTGGTTGCAAATTAGCTGTTGTCATACATTTAAAAAAGTCATCCCTTTTATTGTTTATAATACAGTACTTTTATAAAGGTTTTTATGTTTTAATATTTAACATTGGAGAATTTAAACGTTGTTAAGTGCACAGGTGTGCTGCGATTGGGGTTTAATACATTTGGACTTATTCAAAAGTAAAATAGTTTTCTGTGCTGCAATCTGTAGAAACACTGTGGCACTATTTCAAATCATGACTAATGCTAATACAGAATGTTGTAGTTATTCAGACGTACAAAACAGTTGGTGAAAGTAAACATCTGCTTTTAAATTATATTTATTTTTAAACATTATAGATCAAAAAGTCTGACATTGGCCCACTTAAAACCCTCTGGGGCAGAGCCCTTTTGACGGATCTGCACCAAACTTCACTCGAACCATCCTTGAAAGATGCTTAATAATGCCTGAAAGTTTCATTACAATCTGTCGAGAAGTTTCGGAGTCCATAACGTATATATACATATATATACATACATATTTCCTCTTTTATAGATATAGATTTAGATAACATTTATTTTATAAATTTGACATAAAAACCTCTCCAATATTTTCAGAATTTTTATTTCATGACGTCTTTCGCCAGCTATGCTAGCATCATCAAATTAAAAATACCCGAGGTCCCGGGTTCAAATCCTTCTAATCACCAATTATTTATATGATTTTATCCATGAGATAATTACGTCACCCTCTAGAAATAGCATGTAGTAATGTGCAAGAACAGTTTGGGGTAGAACCTATCGTGAATGTGAAAGTGAAAAAATACAATGACATAGTAGTATTCAATATATTCAGACTTGTTTTATAAACATTGCAAGATGGTAAATATTACGATATGGAACTACAATATAAAATAATTTAGGACCAGTCATAGCAGACATAACCACGCCTAACAGCAACAGATTTATAAGTAGAATACTTTACAGTCCCAAACTTATTAGATACGTAAAAAGTCACAAAACTTTTATTTTGTAAACTAGCATTTTGAATATTATAGAAATCATAGTACCTTATCTCACATCTACGAAAATGTTTTATACTGCTGGAGAGAACACTTCCCACGATACAACGGAACATTCCGTAAAGCCTGATAAAGCAGTGTTCTTTGAGCATTTATGTGAGCATTTCATATTCTGTCCAGGAATTTCATAACATTGTACCTTTACGTTCCATCTGAACTTGGCGATATTCTATTTGACCTTTCTATCTTTATAAGTAGAAATATGCGTTTAAATTTCAAATAAGGTATCTCACCATCTTCTTATAATAACTGAGTTTTTTGGTTAAATATACTTTTTAATGTATTTAAAAAAAACCCTTCATATAAAACTACGTTTGATTTGCAAACTAGCAATAACAATATTGATAATGCAAAACGTTTTGTCTAATATAAATATTAAAACTTATTCAATCGAAGAGTTTTATCGTAAAATGTTACCCGAAACAATGTTTTGGTAGACTAAATCTGTTTTATACGTCATAACGTCAGATACGTCAAATAACTTGTCGAATCACAATATGATACTCATTTAATATATTTACATACGTACATATATTTAATATATCTGGCGACTGAATAGCTTGTTTAAGTTATTTTTTGGTATACAAACATATATGTCTATATAAATGTTAAAAGGCATCAACAAACAATATCAAACTAATAATGTATTATACAATTCATTATACATATTAATACATTATTGTTCTATAAATAGTTTAATAACTATGCTACACAATGTAAAAATTCTCAAAAGCAATTAATAAAAAAATAAATAATATTGTGTCTTTGTTAAAATTGTCACTGTTTAACATAAACTTATTGATGGAAATATTTTTTCTATTGGTTGTGATGAACTTATTTAATTCTTAACATTTTTATGGAGTAAAAATGTTCATAGTGTGAAAGATCAGTCACTGACAAAGTTATATTACACGGACTGTGAAGTTGACAGCAAAGGAAATTATTAGCCTAACAAAGTAGATATAAGTTTTCTAAATTTAGCACCTTGAGACTGGGTGTACTACATTATTTTATGTGTGTGGCACTTATTCATTTTGGTTATTAATTAGGATATGTCAATGGTGTAATGTGCAATCATGCATATTTTAATTTTAGTTTTACATATATCAACGTATAAACTAATCATTAATTTAATGTTATAAGAGTTTACACAATGTAGGTTAATAGTTGAAAATAATAATAACAGCTTAGTCGAAATAAAATCGCTTATCAAATTAAAAGCTCATCGTCTAGAAATTTAAAAATGCTTGTATTCTTGTTTTAATAATTGTATCAGTATGGTGTATTTTAAGTTAAGTAAAGTTTTGTTATTGTTTTTAGTATTTATTTTTGATATGAGTGGTATTTTGTATGATAAAATTAAACATGCAAAGGCAGTGTATTTGATTTAAACTTAGGTTACCTGGTCGCTTTAGTTTAAAATCTTGCTAATCGCTATCATTAGTAAATCCCATTAAAAACTGCAACGTTTAATCTTCATGTAAGAAAATCTTAATCTTTATAAGATGTTAATATTGTTAATAAGTATAGGTTTCTTACTTAAGGTAGCTTTCTTACATGGGATAATTGTCTTCAATATATGCTTTACGATAATAAAAAAAAAAAAAAACTACTTTACAAAATAGCATAAATTTAATCAATCAATTAAATATTGCTAATACTTTTAGTATTACTCAAATTTACTACTACTTTTTACAATAAAATTATAGTAATTAATTTTTTTGGACTCTTTAGTATGTGCACATATACATATAAATATACATATACATATACATAACATAACATAACATAACATACATAACATATACATAAACATGTTTCCCAAAAAATTAATGTAAATCATAGTGGTATTTCTTATTTTAAACTACTAAAAATATTAGTTTTTTTACAAAACCCAACCTGAAAAGAATTTTGTTGATATTATACTCCACTGCAAGGCTGCAATGGTGAACACTATTGGTATTTTGTACGGGGAAGTGATTTGAATACAGATGACTGCTCAGTGAAGTCGTTGGGTAAAATTAGATCTACGTGGTTATCGTTGCTCCAATTGGTGACGAAATAAATTTTCATATTACAATCAGAATTTATGCATTTTTCTTACTGTCACATTATTGGATAATAGGGTTGTTATCTACGCCCTACAGTTATCAATAGCAATAATGAATTCAGTTTATGTTTAACATGTTTAAAATTACTAATAACTAAGTGGAAGTAGTGTTTGTTACAATACGTAAGTTCTATTATAATCGGATCAAAACCTATCTAGTAAAGTCGTCCATGCAAAGATGTACCAAGTTGAGTCACATAATTAAAAATAAAATAAGGAACCAAATAAAATAATATACCACACCATAAACAAGAAATATAATGAGAACGATTTACAGACAAAATTATGATGAACTTGAGATGTAACACAGCAAACAAAACATACATTCAACAATATACCAACAGCTGATTCAAATACATATGACATTGAGGGAGAAAACATACAGATTTGGCAAATTTGACGCCACAAGTGTTTATTTTTCTGATTTCCTACAACCTTAAACTCACAGTGAAAGATTATACTTCGCGACATGATAGCTTCAAATTATATACAACAGAAGTGTAAACATAGTTATCAATAATGCCA